ATAATATATCAACTTATTAAGAAGTAAATTTCTAAGAAGCATACTTTGAGAAGTTGACTTATTAAAAACTATTATTAATTATATAACAAGCATTTTTTTTTTCAATTAAAGGTTCAATAAAAAGTCAAATACTCTGTTAAAAATTTTACATTTTGGCCAGATACTGGCTCAAATTTTTCAAAAGATTGATCTCATCTGCAAGCTATGGAAATTCTTTAGGCAATCAAAAAAATTTATATTTTTTTAAAAAATATAATAATGGAGATATGAAAGAGTACGTGACTATGTATCATGGTTTTTAAAATGTGCTGTTATTATTTTTTGGCCTTTAGTTTAATTAATTAATAATTAGGAGCGCAAACAACTTAAAATTTTGACCTAATTTGGTACCAACTCAGTTTAGCACTGTGCCATATTTTATGCCAGATGCCGGGCTCAATTGGGTCTGGCTGAGATTCGCTATTTAAAAAAAAAAAAAAAATCTTCAAGATGATTATATTTTTGAATTTATTAAATACCCTCTTAATAATAAAAGTTAAATAAACATTCTCATAAAATTATATTTATCCAAAAAAAATTCAATTCTCATAAAATATGTTTTTCAAATAAATAATGTTAAATAAAATTAATCAACATAATTGTTTGATTATAAAATGACATTTGAGTCCCTTTTTATATAAATATCTGACTAAGTCATAGTTAAATATTGTCAAGCTTAATTAACAATAGCTCTGCCAACATGCTTGAGCAACTATGTCATACTGATATGTGTATTGGATATGATACGTATTCAATATTTCAATACTTTCATTTTTAAAAATATAAAATATAATATGTTTTTGATATGTGCAAGTATGTTTATTAAAAAAATAATAAAAATATAAAAAGTACAATTTAAATTTAGAAAATATCCAAAATATCATACATATATAGTACTGTAAAATAATATCAAGCAAAACGTAATCATCATTGATATTTTTATTCTATTTATACTTAATTGTCTATTGCTTAATTTTTGCTAATAATTCTCCACTTAGGATTTAAATGCCAAAAGATTATATTTCTACATTTTTATAATTTAAAAAAATATAATAATTTTTATCTTTTTATTATATCTAAAAATAATTTTTTAAGGAAAATCTAATCTTTAATTTTAAAAAGAAATCAAAAAATATATTAGAAATAAAAAATATTAATATTGCAATATTTAATAAATTTTAATTTCTTAAAAATAGTTTTGAAGTATTGATTTGAAGGTATCAACTTATAATTTAAAGTATAATTATTAGATATTCTCTTTGTTAAAAAATGTAAGACATTTTTAACTAAATCACATCTCTAATAAAGTAGTTGACTACTTTCAAACTAACTCTATCTTTTTATATTTATCTTTATTAAACACCCTATAATAAATATAAAGTCATTATCAATAGGGGTACTTTTTTAAAAAATAATGATTATATCTCAAAAGACTAAAAATAGTTTACATTTTTTAATATCCAACTCCTCAAAAAATAACTTATATTTTTTAATGAAGGGAGTAGGTATCAAAAATAAAAATTTATTAAAATTTTAAAAAATAATATTTTGATATTCTATGGATACGTATTGAAGAAATATCGGTGAACATCAATATCAAACACGATACTGATATTGATACGTGAGGCAATTTGAGTTTTTACAATGAGTGTCATTCCCTAAAATAACTAATTAAAAACCTTTATATTTATTTGTTTTATATATTCATTTTTTAAAAAGTGCATTTCATATTCTTTAATTTTACACTCCATCTGTTAAAAAATGTAAGATATTTTTAACTGAATCTCACTCCTCAATAAAGTAATTACCTACTTTCTAACTAACCCTATCTTTTCATATTTATCCCTATTAAATACTCTATAATAAATTTAAAGTCATTATTAATGAGGGCACTTTTGAAAAAAAAATACAATGGTTATACATTGAAATATTAAAAATACGTTACATTTTTGAATATCTAACTTCTCAAAAAATGTCTTATATTTTTGAACTAAAGGAGTATAAGGTCTCATTTTAATATTTTAATTTTATAAAATATTTTTTCAATCATCTAACCCTAATATTGTTAATCTCAAATGATAATTTTTTGTGATGATTATTGTTATTTTAAAAATTTAATTTAATATATCAATATTTGACATCATTTTATCAACATTTTAAAAATTCAACGTCAATATTTTTTGTCAATCAAATTAAAAGTTTTGAGATTAATGAATTGAAAGAAAACTTTATAAAATTAAAAAAATTAAAATAAAATTTTGTGTAAAGTTAAAAAAACTAAAGGATATATTGAAGGGTAAGAACCACCACGACCACATATATGAAAAATCTCCCCTCATTTTAACAAACAACCACATGCATTGTCTTTTCCCTTTTGTCATTCAAACCCTAGGCTCCTTTGAAAAGAAACTAAAACTACACATCAATATATTAATGTCATATTCATATCAGGTGGTGAAAATATTGCCATCAATCACTCTTTGAAGGTATATCAGTTCTAAAATTTCATAAAATGTAAAATATATGAAGTAAATTATTATTATTTTTTCAAATGTTATTGGCAAAAACTAGATGCATAAATGATTCATTATATACATGAGGGGACTAAAATAAAATTAAAGAGTTAATTAAAATAATCTTAATATCCTTGGTGAAATCAAACATATAAACAATTCGTGTGAAAAAAATGAATAAATGATATATAGAAAATGATTAGTCAATATAGGTGAAATTTACAACTTTCATTGATAGCATACCATCACTATAAATTTGTGACTTTCATTCCATGTATATTACTTGTTTATTTTTTCTACACAAATTATTTATATATGTAATTTAATTTGTTTATATTCATAATAGTGTTTTGCTGTTAATAAAAGTAGCAAATTTCACTTATATCAGTTATTTATTTTTTATATATTAGTTGTTCATATTATGAGGAATAATAAAATTATTTTAGTTAACTTTTAAATTTTATTTCAGTCTCTCACATATGTAATGAAATTTCAAAATTTTACAAGCTTTAACAAAAATCAAGTTGGGTTAAGAGGACCTCACTAAAAATTTCCCTTGTTTTTAAACCCTCAAATTTGCTTTCATAAGCTTTCATTCCTTTTGTTTAATCTCTCAAATGTTTGTCCTTTTAGTTTAAAAAAAATACTTAGATCTTGAGTTGGGAGAATTTAATATAGAGCAAATGTAAGAATAGGAAACTAAAAAGATATTTTACTTAGAGCCGGTAATTTGGGTCAAGCCCGACGAGCCAACCCGAACCCAAAAAAAAATATTTTTTATTATTCGGGTCTATTCAGGCCGCCCGAATAGGCCCGAGAAAATTCGGGCCAAGCCCGATCGGGTTCGGGCTTGGCCCGAATACCCGAATAGGAAAAAAAATTTAAAAAAAATATATAATATAATAAATATTAATTATTTTTCAAGTTTTATATCATTTTATTTTAAACTATCATATATTTGAATGTATTACTATAGTTATTTTAACAAAAATAAAAATATTTATATTTTTCCATTTTTATTATTTTTAATTAAATAAAATATCTCAAAATAATAATTAAAATATATTTTAATATTAATTTTTATATTTTAAGACTCAATTTTTTTTGAAAAAAATTGACTCATATAAACCATTTTCTTGTCCAAAAAATTATATTTTATATTTTTTATAAAATTAGATAATTAATTTTAAATTAAAAATAATTTTAAAAATAAAATTTGGTCGTGTATGAATTTTCGACTCTACTACTAAACAAACATAATAAATAAAATAATATTTTTAGATAATTATTTAATTATTATCCACGTCAGATTTAGTTAAAAATTAAAAATAAACTAAAGTAAATACTTTTTATATATAGGACTTAAACAATATAAAAAATTTAAAAAATAGTATTTTACCCATAATTAAATAATTTTATTTTATATAATATAATGACGACTATTTTTTTTCATATTCTTAAAAATAAAAAGTACAGTTTATCTAATAGTTATTAAAAACTTTAATCAGGATAATAATTTTAAATTAATGGTTTAACCGTAGTTGAATTGAGATTAACTTGATCATAATTAAAATAATATGATTCAATTAAAATATATAAATATTTTTATATAACTATGATAAGAGCAATATTTAAATAAATATGACATTAATTTACAAGTAAAGGAAACATTCATGAATAAATTGCACATAATACAACAAAACAGTAACACTACTTAAATACTTAACTACAAAGTTAATAAGTTATTATTTTTTATTCATTTCAAGTTAAAATAATATGTTATGCTTAATAAAATTATTTAAAAATTAAAATTGATTAAAAATAAAAAAAATATTTTTTAAAAAGTTTCGGGTATTCGGGCCGGCCCGAATAAGTCCGAAGCCCGAAGGCGTTAGGGCCGGACTTGGCTATATGGGCTTTTTAGAAAGAGTAGGATTCTTTAAGTCCGGCCCGAATTGAACCCAACCCGAATAAACCCGGCCCACCCAAATTACCGGCTCTAATTTTACTCATATCAATTGATAAGATATTTTTAAATAAAATAATATATATTAATAAAACTTATCAAATACATTTTACAACATTATTTTTTTAAAATAAAAATAAAAAATTTTAAAAATAACTCTTCATTTAATAATTCATTAATAAAAAATATTAAAAAAAAGAATATATAAAAATAATAATATTAAAAAATTATAATTAATAAAATCTTCTTTTTATTTTTGTACAAATATTTTATATTTTAAAATATCAAATACCTATCCTATATAATTTGAGACTAACAAAGTAGTAAGTTATAAGAATTAAAAACAAAAATGACACTGGAGTGGTATTTTCCTTTTTTATTACCAAGTTTTTCCAATAAAATTGAAACACAAAAATCCAGAACGAAACGGCCTCACGGACTCTACCACCCTTTATTATCCCTTTTATTTGCCCTGTTCTTCATTTCGCTCTCCTTCGTCTCTTGTTTCTTTCTCCATCGCCACTAGGCCACAAAGGAGAAGAGATATGGGCACCCGAAACCGACCCGATACTCTTTCCTTCGCATTAATCTTCGCCTTCAACCTCTTGCTCCTCACTTCTCCGACCGGCTACGCAATCGCGAATCCGATCAAAACCGTCGTCGTTTTGGTGATGGAGAACCGGTCCTTCGATCACATGCTAGGGTGGATGAAGAAGCTCAATCCAGAAATCGACGGTGTCGACGGCTCAGAATCGAACCCGCTGTCGGTAAAGGACCCGAAGTCGGCGCGGGTCTTCTTCGGCAACCAGTCGCAGTTCGTGGACCCGGACCCGGGACACTCGTTCCAGGCGATTAGAGAGCAGATATTCGGGTCGGATGATGCGTCGGCGGACCCGGCTCCGATGAACGGATTCGCACAGCAAGCGTATTCTATGGATAACACCACAGCCATGTCTCGCAATGTGATGAACGGCTTCGTCCCTGAGATGGTCCCCGTTTACAAAGCTCTTGTTTCGGAGTTCGCCGTGTTTGACAGGTTTGCTTAGCTTCGTCTTCACCAAATTCAATGTTCAGTTCATAGTTACTTCACAGTTTGCTCTCTCTCAATGTAATGATTTATTCTTTTTTTTTTTTTGCCTATTTATTTATTCTTAGTTGGGACTTGGGAGAAAACACGTATATTTTTCTAATCATGGAGTCAGGTTTGATAAAACAGAGAGAGATGGCTTATCACAGCTACTGCAATTAATCAGATCGATAATGTTAATTATTATTAATAATACTATTTACAAGTCACTTATAACATTTTTATTAAAATAAAAAAAATTAAATTTTATTAATTTTATCTAAAAATTTAACACGTTTCTAACTTTATTCTTAAAGAAGTAAAAGAATAAAAAAAAATACAATACTTGTTAAGATAAGAGGAGTAAAGAATAACTATGTCAAAACAGAAAGCTAGAGGAAAAAGAAAATATTCTTCATTTTTTGATCTTTTTTCTTTTTTTTCCTGTCTCATAATTAATTTTTTAATTAAACGTAAATATTGACATATTCTTTTTGTCTTTTTGCTAATGTTAGAGTTACTTGCTCTTAAACCTCATATTCTATTGTCTTTCCGGCCAACATTTCAGGATCCAAATCGGGGGAACGAAATGAAATTATTTGCTGCGTTTTTCATTTAATATGTTTTAGTTGTTTTATACTTTTATTCTTCGGTGGTTTAATTGATTTTTTTAACTAAAATATTTTTTATTGATTATATATTTTTTGGGTAACCTTTTTCGGCAATGAGAGGCTAACTTGTTTGTTAAATATTCTCAAATATATTGTCATTTTACGTCAACTTCCTATCTGAATATCTGTGTGTGTATAATCAATATAAAAAAAGTAGTTTGTTTTGGATAAATTTCAATCAAGTTTTAATTGATTAACATGTATTTGTTTAATTTAGACTTCGTTTATCAATGAGCCAATTCTTCAAGGATTATTTTAGGTTTCTCCGAAGGAATTGCATCACTTGATCTGTGTTAATGTTCTAATTTTGTTTGTTTTTATTTTCTCTTCTGACTTAAGAAAAAAAAAAACATATTAGGGAATATGTATGAGTATGTGTATGTATAATTATAATTATATTATGCACTAATGATTGATGTTAATTGACCTCTTGACTTGCTAGGTGGTTTGCTTCTGTTCCAGCTTCCACACAGCCTAATCGCCTGTACGTTCACTCCGGGACCTCCGCCGGAGCGACGAGCAACAACTCGACGCTGCTCGTCCAGGGTTATCCACAGAGAACCATCTTCGACAGCCTCGATGACGCCGGAATATCGTTCGGGATATACTACCAGAACATTCCGGCGACATTGTTCTATCGGACCCTAAGGAAGTTGAAGCACCTAACAAAATTCCACCCATACGACTTGTCGTTCAAGCAGCACGCAAGGGAAGGGAAGTTACCGGGGTATGTTGTGGTGGAGCAGCGATACATGGACACGAAGTTGACGCCAGCCAATGACGACCATCCATCGCATGACGTGTACCAAGGGCAGATTTTTGTGAAGGAGGTGTACGAGACGCTGAGGGCGAGCCCGCAGTGGAACGAGACCCTCTTTGTGATCACGTACGATGAGCATGGAGGGTTCTATGATCACGTGCCAACTCCTGTACGCGGGGTCCCCAGTCCAGATGGAATTGTGGGGCCCGAGCCATTCAATTTTAAGTTTGATAGGTTGGGAGTTAGGGTTCCGACCATTGCAATCTCACCTTGGATAGAAAAAGGCACAGGCAAGTTTTCTCTTCAACTTTGCTTTTTTTATTAATAATTTTTAAAAGGGATGAATTGGGATCATAGATCTAATGAAGAAATATTTAAGAAAACAGACCTAGAATTCTCCACCAAAAAATATGATAAAAAAGTTTGTAATACGAAAGATAAAATGTAAAATATAGAAGATAAAATGCACATTTTTTACGATGTCATTTTTTTACCACACAATAAATCTATATTTTATTTTCCATATTCTGAATTTTTCTTGTGCTTTTCACGGGAGAAAACTATGTCATTTTTTCCAAATAAATTTGTAAATGGGCCCTTATAAATTTTTAAAGTTGTTAATGGATAATAGCGAGTCATAGAAACTGAATTTTCAATTTTTTGTTGTGTTGATATCTTAAATTTTGTTAATTATATTTATAAAATTTATGAAATTATTTGTACATAATTCTTAAATTTTCACACTTTTGTTAATATAACAATAAATTAAATAATTATAAAAAATTATATACACATAATGCTTAAACGTGGTTAATATTTAGATACTTGATATCTACTATAGATTAATATAGAAGATCTGAAAATATTAATTAAAAATGGATATTACTGTATATTGATATTTTTCAAACCACATGCTACAAATAGGACCCATATTTAGTTTGATTATATATTCTTTTAATTTTATTTATAAGAATGATAGGTGATTAATTTTGTTTTTATTTATAAGTTATTTTATTATTTTTTGTATTCATTTTTATCTTTCTGTGCTTATTAAATCTAAGAAAAAATTATTAAAACTAATTATTTTTGAATTTATTAGCGACAGAGATAAAAACGTAATAAATTTTAAAATAAAATTAATAAAGTTTAACGTGTTTTTTTTTACAGTAAAATATATTAAAAATAATTTATAAACAAGATGGAGAAAGCACTTTACCAAATATCTATAATTAATTCAATATATTTATATCCTACTAAAATCACCATCTAGAGACACGTGAGTATGACCTCACCTTTAATCATTATGAGGTTCTATCGGTGGGGTGAGATTAACCAATAAAAAACTTACACGTAGTCTCTCGTCTTCTGAGTAAAAGGACAAGAGGCATGAAGTGGGATGGCGAGTGGGGACCGCTTGCATCAGTGTGTGAAAACTAGCTGTGTTGCTTAATTGCTTTAATTTCTTCTCGCTAGGAGCCACGTTTTGCTTACCCAATTAAGCATTAACTAACATAATGGAACATTATTAATGCATCAAATTAATAATGGTTTGGTTGACTTTTTAGCCATTCCCATCCACGAGAACAAGTTACCTGCAGGAGTCAACCAGGCAATACTTGATTCACGCTGGTATATAATGGACAAATGAACACGTTTTTCGTGTATAATGGATATAGAATTTGTGTAATGGATTCCATTATTTACAATTTTGCCATATATTGAATATTCATCCCAATTCTATTAATAAGTCATTTCTAATATATTTTATTAGAATAAAAAAAATTTTAAAACTACTAATTAATATTGGTCTTAATGCAAAGAGCTATAGCCCTTTAAATATGAAATTTTATGTTCGAGTCGATGTAATATAAAAAGATGTCTTTAAAAGAGTTATCTTTAATTAAGCCTAATAATTGACCCAATGAAAGAGCCACATTAAAAAAGAAAAAGTTTAAAGTTTAACTCTCTTTAAAAAGTTAATAAATTTTCAACAATACTCTTATTAAGTTTACATACTTTAATAATATATTTTGTCACCAACACTTAATAGGGATAAAAAGGGGAATTTGTAATAAAAAGTCTGTGACATGTTTTATAAGTGACAAAAGAAATCTTCCTTTTATTACTTTATAAATAACCTTATAAATAAGACCAGATGAGTATTAATTTTACACTACTTCCTCCGTGTTCTTTGTAGATCACTTTTATGGCTTATTTGATTTATGTGTATTATCAATTTGTGAATGAATTGAGTTGAATAACATTCCTTTATACAATTTTTAAATCATGTTTTTGAACTGTGAAACTCATTGTTGGAAGTTAATGATGGTGTTGGTGATGCAGTGGTTCATGGAGCAAAGGGGTCACCCACTGCAACATCAGAATATGAGCACTCATCCATTGCAGCAACAGTGAAGAAACTCTACAATCTGCCTTCCTTCCTCACAAAAAGAGATGAATGGGCTGCAACCTTTGAGGCCATTCTTCACACCAGAACTGAACCCAGGACTGATTGCCCAGGTATCATCATGTCAACACTCTCCTCCTTCTCTGATCTCTTGGCTTTTAAGCTTTTCAACTCATGAAACTCATGCCATTTGATGCAGCAGTAATTTATTATTATTATTTTTTTTGGGTATTTTTGATTTGATCTAAGCTGTTAAGTCTTTAATTATCATGAGCTGAATGATTGAAGCTAGAAAAACGGCTTCCTATGTGCTTGTACAAAGACGGCGCATTTCTCAATTTCATTATATAAGTATTGAATCCTGAAGGTAAATGATCAACTTCAGAGTAGCAAATGATTATTTTCATTGAGTGAGTGACTAAAACAGTGTAGCAAATGATTACTTTCATTTTCATAAATGTTGAGAAATAAAAGTAGTCATTTCCTGAACTATTTTAGTCACTTCCTTAATGAAAAAGTCATTTAACTCTCAAATTATCATTTATCTTTGGGGGCATTATTATGATCATTTTGTAAAAAATTCAATGTTAGGTAAGTTCCTAGGGACTTCAAAAGAATTACCTTATTTTGTGGTCCTCTTTTTTCATTTGTCTATTTGGATAGGATTTATTTGCCATTCTCCCTTCAAACTCTCTCCATTAAAAAATGTAAGGTATTTTTAATTATATCTCATCCTTAATAAAATAGTTATTTATCTTTAAATTAACCCTATCTTTTCATATTTACTTCTAATTAATAGGTTGTTTCATTCTAAAATGAATATAAAGTGATTTACTTAATAGAGGCACTTTTGAAAAAAAAATACAATGATTACATCTTGAAAGACTAAAAATGCCTCACATTTTTTAACATCCAATTCTTTAAAAAATGCTTTACATTTTTTAATGAAAGGAGTATGTGTTATAAAGATTGAAAAAGCCCAAAACCCATTTTTTCTTTCTCTATCTGTATGGACCGGCACCTGAAAAAAAAATCTCTCACTTGAGTATCAGTTATCTGCCAAGGCCAATTGCTTGTGTAGGTTCAAATTGCAGGGAATCTAGATCTCAAATCACAAAAAATGTAGCAATAATCTATTAACTCGTTTGTTATGAGAAATTTCAAATATCAATATGCTATGCAATAGACCCAAATAATTTGAAATATCAAGATAAAAATAATGATATACAGGAGATATATTATTATCAGAGAATCATATGATTAAAAATGAAAATTGTTCTGCGCAGAGAAACTTCCAACCCCAGTGAAGATAAGAAAAGGGGGACCAAATGAAGAAGCAAAGGTGAGTGAATTTCAGCAAGAGTTGATACAGCTAGCAGCAGTGTTGAAAGGAGACAACATCTTCACCAGTTACCCTCAAACTATAGGGAAGGAAATGACTGTGAAGCAAGGTAAAGCCTACATGGAAGATGCCGTCAAACGCTTCTTCGAGGCCGGATGGTACGCCATGAAGATGGGAGTCAGTGACGAACATATTGTGCAGATGAAGCCTTCTCTCACTACCAGATCTTCCAAACAGTCTTCACATCCTAACCCTTAAATGCACCCTCCATATATATATTATATATCCATATATGTATATTCTATATACAAATATTGAAAATAGGACAGCATCAACGTGTAGGTCTAAAAGATGTAATGCATAAAAGTTGGTGCTTGAGATTGAATAGGTGCTATATATATGGTATTTATTCAGGCGTTTCTGATCTTTGGCTGACTTTTAACCCCAGACCTCTAAGAAAGTTGGAATTTACTTACTGGGTTTTGTTTTGATGATGAGATATCAGATATGAGTACTGTAATGCTTATAATCCCAAAATAAGAAAAGAAAAGATCTTGCTATGCCTATATGGTTGCCTTGGAAGCCTTTCTAGCAAGAATAGCCCAACAAAGCACACGATACAGAACAAAGAAGCCAAGCATGATGCTCACATTCATCCACCTTGTATCTGTATCAAGTCCTCTACTCTTGAGCACGTCAAAACCAGTAAGCAAGCAATCTGATTCTCCTTCTGAGAAACACTCGCTCTTAACATTCCAATACTCATTTGTGAGTAATGCATCCAGAGGGTACCTATACAGTGACACATAGTACATGAAAATCCAGTACTTGGGGATGCTCTCTTTTGGAATGAAGTATCCTGAGAATAGAAAGAATGCTCCCAGCACAGTGCAGATCATGGAGTTCCCAGAAATGAAATCAGGAGATATTGCACTTAAGAAGAGAACCAGAGAACTTGCCATGAGCACTATAAGCCAGACGATGAAGATGAAGAAGGCAAAGGCTGAGAAGGACGGGTTGAGACCTACGATCCAGTACACAGGGACTGAGAAAAGTATGGACACTACAAACAAGAAAGGAAAGAAGACAAGAGTGTTTGCCACCATGTAAGAGGAAATTTTGTATGCTCCTCTTGAGGCTTCTTTCATTAGAACACATCTCTCTTGAAGGAATATTGGAAGTGCTTCAACTGTGGAAGAAAGCAGAAAGCTCAGGCTAAATGCAAACAGGCCTAGTCTTTCTGCAACTCCTCCTTCATCCTTCCTCACCTGGTCCAGTAACAAAATAAACCCTTAAAAGATAACTCACATGTGGAATTATTAAAGTAAATGATACTAACTTTCCTACGAATTTAGATGGTTCTATTTTTTGCTACAGCAGCACAGTACTACAAGGAAAGAGAAAGACACAGAGTGGGTGGGCCTATTCACCTCATGTGTTGGTCCCACCCCATATATTTACCTCCTTCCTCACAACATCATGTTTTGGGGCAGAGAATCGAAGGTATAAAGTCATGCTAAATATATGTAAAAATCATACTAATTAGAGCCTGCAACATTCTGGCCCAAAAAAAAAAAAAAACAAAGAGCAGAGAGGTTTTGGGATAGTTTACCTTTATGTAAACACTTCCAAGCCCAAACCCGCCAACTAGAGCTTGCATTGTTCTGGCCAAGAAAAGCTGCTTTGTTCTGTAAATGACCTTCCAAAATCTTGAGCAGAGAAACAAGATCTCAATCAAGCTCCAATACCAGGCACTGCAAATCTTTTTGCTGTTATCATCACTTGTGTAATTATGAACCTCACCAGTTTCTTCTTCCTTGTCTTGCACGGGACAAATGTCATTATCATAAGTGGAAATTTTTGAATCTTCCAATCTCTGTATAATTTCCATGGCAAACTCTAAAGCATTGAGTTGCATTGGAATCTGAAATCCCAACCTGGTAATGGTTTTCTCAAGTGATCTCAGGCTACCGTTGTGCACAACTGAGCCATGAGACAGGATCAAGAACCTAGAAATGTACTGCAATATTCTATAGCTGGGTTGGTGAATTGAAAGAATCACTATCCTTCTCTTTGACTGAACCATCAATGAAAGAAGTTCTATCACTTGAAGAGCTGAAGAACTGTCTAGGCCTGAGGTTGGCTCATCTAGGACCAAAATAGGAGGATTATGAATCATATCAGAACCTATAGATACCCTTTTCCTCTCCCCACCAGAAATCCCTCTATTCTCGTCATCTCCAACATAGCTATCAGCAACATGAAGCAGCCCAAGCTCTTGCATCAAAGTCTCTACCCTCACTTCTCTATCCTTTGATGACATTTCCTTTAGCCTAAACTTGGCACTGAACATTAAGGTTTCTTTCACGGTTAACAGAGGAAGCAAATTATCCTCTTGTGCCACAAACCCACAGATCTTCCTCAACTGAGCTGGACTTGTCATTGGATGATCATTGATCGATATGCTTCTAGGATCAAAGTCTTTGTCTTTAACTCGCCCTGCGATGACACGAAGAAGAGTGGATTTCCCCGTGCCACTAGGACCAACAACAGCAACAATCTCAGAACTTTTGGCAGAAAAAGAGACTGAATTGAGTATATGCAGAGGCTTGGGCTTCTGAGGCATGAGACAGAATGAAAAGGGTGTGGATTTATGTGGGTGAAGAGTGTAGGAGAGATTGGTGACAGAAAGTTTATGATTACCAGAAGTAGTGGAGACAGAAGAATGATATGAAGAAGAAGACGGGCTGATGGAGATGGAGTCTTGAGGAGAATTAGAGGTTGAAAATAGTATCATAGTGTCATCTTCAGTGCTAGATAACCTGGGTGGGTTCAAGCAGCGAGCTGCCATTGTGCTTGTTTGATTTGTGTTTTTCTGCGTGTAGGACACAGAAATTTGAGCTTAAGATGGGAGCAAGAAATTGAAGATTCATGAGGAGATCAGTAAAGTGTAGTAAGAAATTATGATAGAAGATGACACAACCAGATTTGACTGCGTAAATGGTTACTTCTTGCATGGATGAAATGTTTGGCAGGGGTAGGTTATCTGGGACGTTGGAATTTTCAAGTGCCTATTTAAATTTCTTGCTAGATTGTTATACTCATTTTCGTTAACTCCCGAATTCGGTGCTCAAGAAAATCTATCTTAATGAGACTTTTAAAGTTTTAAAATTTAATTATTTTAGCTTTAAAAATATATACTTTATTACTCAGGTGAGTATGAAAAAAAAAAAGAATAAATTCTGAAGTACTCACGGTGTATATGGGGGATGTGTTTACTTCATTGTAATATTTGTGGGATAAAAATATTAAAATTAATTTGGTAGTTAATAGCAGTTCATCACTTAATCTAATTACAAAGATAATTAATTACAGTTTATAAAAAGATCATGAGTCAATCCTAACTTTTGATCTAAAAAGTGGGCCCACGAAACAGTCAACTCGGCCTTGCTTCCAGTTTGTCCATTGTCTTTGTTCGGTAGGCAGTTGCAACCCCCCCCCCCTTCCTTAAAGAGAGGAATTAAAAACCAACCAAAAGAATTGTATTAAGACATTTTTATTTATTTATTTTGCTTCTTTCGTCCTGATAAATTGTTTGGTACTGATTTCTTTTAAAAAAATCAATAATGTAATATTGAGTTGTATAACATACGATTTTATACACAGTTTTTTCATAATAATATTGAAAAATATTCAAAATTTACAATTTGATGTCCGTTAAAAGGTTTCCAGTTATGCATGATATTTGACTAACACTTGTACGTGAGGAGTGTTTTATAAGCGAGTGTTTAGCCTAACAAAAAGGTTGAAAGTTGTATATGTTAAGAGATCAAGTGGAAATTAAAAATCTTACTGATAAATGTTAGTCCAATTGATAAAAGTTCAATCCATAACGCACGAGATTATGAAACCAAATCCCATTATTGATATGAGGACCTTATTGATGAATGATATGTAAATATATTTATAAGTATTCTTTAAACTTAAAGGCATACTCTAATCCTGGTGAGTTCCAACTCAACTCACCTAAACTTTTATCAATTAAAAAAAAGAAATTATAAGCCTTTATTAAGATTGCTTAAGCTAAAAAAAAGTTACTTTAATTAAATAAACATGAGGAGCATGAGGTGTGTTTGAAATTAGATAGAATAATCACTTTTGATTTTTGAAAAAAAATGCTTTCAACTTATTCTAATAAGCTATTTGGATTAACTTCTTAAAATGATTGCTTTTTAATTTATATATCAAGTGTTAAATCTCTCTGTCTCTCTCTCTTAAAGATTTTGAGTTAAGCTAAACAATCATTACTAATTTGAAAATCATTTTTTCATTAGGTTCAAACAAAATAAAGTAATTTCTGTGAAAGTATATAGGAAAAATGATAGAAAAATCTTTTTAAAATATATAAATGACAATAAAATCTTACGAAATGTCATAATTCTTTTTAAATTATTAAGTATCTTTCTAACATTAATGATTTTTGATAGAATGACTACAAAATCCTATTTAAAAATTATTTTTTGTTTAAGCTTAAACAAGGGAAGTAAACAAAATAAAGTAATTCTCATGAAATTATAGATTTTGAGAAATTTAAATAAATAACCAAGAATTTTGAAAATTTTGCACAATAAAAAAAAATTGATTCCTTGTTTGAGGGCCTAGAATATCAACAATTCGGTGTACTGCTTTCTTAAGATCTATTATGATGGGTGCAATGCAAATTTCATGTTCATTTATTTTTCTTCTTTTGACAAATCGGGCGATGAAAATTTCTGTCACAAATTTTCATAGCAAATATCTGGTTTTGATTTGTGATTCACACAATAAAGTTATAGTAAGATTATTTGGGATATTGTTTTAATCCACTTTATCTGCACATTCCATTTCATTCATATCCTTACCACAAACCAAACCTGCTCAAAACCTTTGTGATGGCTTTGCTCTAATATCTTGCAGACCCAAACCCATTTCCGATTGGAAAATCATAAAGGTTGTTGTATAAGCATAAAAGTTTAGGTTTCCAACTTTTGTTGAAATAAACAAGTCTTAAATAATTTACATAAATGTCAATAGCTCTCTTTCTATTCCAACCAACTTTTCTCTCATTATATTGAATTTTGCTATCGATTGAAGTATTAAATCGTATGTTTGTTGCTATCGATTGAAGCCACTTGAGATCATTTCTCACCATGATTGTACTAATAGTAATAATCAGGCACAAACCTTTTATTATACAAATGCATCTCAACGTTAGCTAGCTTAAAATGCTTTAGACATTTACACTTTGAGCATGGACATCTAAGTACTTCATTAGTTTTAAACACCTCTTGTTTCTTTACAAACTCAATAAACTCTTCCACCCTCGCAACAAAACTTATTGGTGATCCTAATGCCCAACCCCACACATTTGTTGTCCATTCAACGATGATGATGTTCAAGTAAAGCCATATATATCTACAACAAAGCATTATTTCAAAAACTTTATTCTATCTTATCAACCAATAAAAAATTTAAAAAAAAATACTAGCATGCTTTTTTTAATCGAATTATAGCACCATACATAAGCAAATATAAAACGAAAGTTAACTTGTAACCACCAAATCATGTACTTAATTAAAGCAATAATGGAAAGCTAGTGGGAAAAAGGGAAAAGAAAAATGAAAGAAAAACACAAAGGATCAGGCAAAACTAGCTAATTCCAGATCAGATAGCTTGCAATAAGTCCTCTTTAATAATAAGAATAATGAATAGCTTGTATTTCATGAAAACATACAAATGCTAAGAGCTTGTTCAATTCTTAAATTGTAGCTCAAATGTCAGCAAAATCAACTCAGTACATTCAGTTATGGAAATCCAAGATCATGAAATAATGTAGGTGGAAGAAATTGAACAAATGTATTGTATCCTTCTGCTTTACAATATTGTCAGCTTGAAGAAAGATTTTGAACAAAGCACAACTTAAGGTTTCTCTCTCTAAATGCTTGAAGAATTCATAAGTTGGTCAATTATTTTGAAATTAGAAATTAAACTAGACAGTAATAATCAAGTTGGATTAGTTTTGGAATGAATGTGACAAAGAAGAGAGAAATTAAACCATAGTGAATCATACAAGTTGTATTACTCTTTATATTCCAATGAATGGAAGTACTTGTTCAAATAAATATTCGATTTAGTAAAATAGTAGATAAGCAAGGGAAATAAAAGCATACCTCCCCCCCCCCCCCCAAAATATGTTTTCTGACTCATATCACATGTACAAGACTATCATATGCGTATGTGTAGTCTAAACTTTTTAGCACCAGGTCATGAAAAGCACAAGCATTATAATAGATAAACTACAATATGGGGCAAATTCAAACCCAAACCCCGGGAAAAAAAAAAAAAACGCAATTCATGCCAAATCCTATTAGGACATAGTACAGAGCTTTATTAATCATGTCAGTCCAAAAGCAAGCAAGAGAACAACCCAAAATCTTGCCAGACATTATTTATTTATTTATTTTTTACAGCAAACAGAACTTTTATTCAGCACTTGAAACAAAGATATTTATACAGAAAAGTCAAGAGCACGGGTTCACTATTAGAAGCTATAAGCAAATAATGTGTGCAACTGTTCAAGTTCAACCCACGCAACAGATCAAATCCAGCAGCATAAACTGATCAATAACGCAATACTACACAGTAATACAAGCAACCGCTAGGAACCTATACTTAATTTTCAACATACTTAGACAAAACAATTATAAACCAGAAACACAACTTTTTAAAGCCAAGAACTTAGTTTTTAAAGTTTCTTGACAAAACATGGCAAGATAAAATGGGAAAACTCGAGAGTAATTTGCAGCCATACTCAAGCAAATATAAACACAAAATTAATTCGCAACCACCAAATCATGTACCGAGAGCAATGGAGGAGAGCTAAAGACAAAAATAGAGAAAGACAGAAAGAAAGAAAAACACTAAGCATCAAGCAAAACTAGCCAATTCCAAATCCGACACGCGACGGCTTGCTAAGAGCTTATGTTTCATGAAATCACAACAGATGCTAAGAGCTTGGGCAGTCCTAAAATTGTAGCTCAAATGACAGCAAAAGTAAAACCCAATTCAATAGATTCAATAATTGTGCAAACCCAAGTTCAACATTTTTAAGTTATTTCTCGACAAGACATGGCAAGATAGGCTATTTTCGTACTGCTTATAATAGGCTCTAACACTGGGCAATGTTTTCCTAAAATCTAATCAATCAATTGGAACTTGATAGCATAAAGAATCTATAGATTCTTTTATGATGGAAAATAAGCAACCCAGACTAATGCAACATATACACTTCAGTTGAAATAGAAAACCAGAACTTTGCTCTGCGAAGTCAACCACAAAAATGATATCTCCAGACTTTTAAAAGAAAACGTAGCATAAATTTTCCGAGTATGACAAATCCAGAGTTAAAATAACACTATCTCTATCACAAGTCATAAGACAATTTAAAATAAAATTACATATACTGATAAAATATAATAATGACATTTTAAAAATTTATTTTTTTAAGATAAAATTATAAATTTTCAAAAACACCCTGTATGTACACTTAATCATTACATTATAATATTATTTTAATTTTTTTTATTTGAAGGATAGTATCATAAAAATATCATTAGTGAAATCTCTTTTTTTAAATTATCTCATTTTTTGAGATAATGAAATTCCTTTAAACTTATCTTATAATTTAATATTGAAAGAGTATATCATTATTGAGCCCTTACCTAAAAGTCTAGGATTAATACTTTTAAATTTAATGAATCAGAAATCCCCAAGCCTGATTATTCAAATTAGTTATAAAAAAAATTGCAGCATAATTTTTCCAAAAGCAATCATTTTGTCTCAATTTTCAAAATATGTCAGAAACCCAAATCCAAACTCACCGAGCTGAAGGACGGAGGCAAAAGGCTCCGAGCTGAAGCACTGTAGACAAGAAGGCTGGAGTAATATTTATATTAAATCTATACTCATTCAGACTACATCTAAACAATCATGTTGTCAAAATTATAAAAATTTTAATATTAAATTAAACCACTCAAATTACACATGTACTGTTCAAATTACATTCAGACAGTCAATTTATTAAAAAAATTAATATTAAATTAGTCAGTCCAAACTAAATACTCCCTGCATTCAAAAAAATAAAACATTTTTAATCGAATCTCATCTCCTAATAAAGTAGTTATCTACTTTTAAACTAATCCTATATTTTCACATTTACTCCCATTAAACACCCTGTAATAAATATAAAATCACTATCAATAGAAAAACTTTTAAAAAAAGATAATAATTATACCTCGAAAGACTAAAAATACCTTACATTTTTAAACATCTAATTTTTAAAAAAATATCTTACATTTTTAAATGGAGGCAGTATGTGTTTTAACCAAATTGATGATAAATATGTGTTTATTAAAAAATTTAAAAAAATTAATCATTTAATCTCTGTAGTTTTGGTCCAATTGTAACTCTCTGAACTTTAACTCATTATAATTCAATTCTTATAATTTTAACTTGGTTATAACTCAATTTTTAAACTTTTTCTCTTACAATTTAATTCTTATAGTTTTAACAATTCAAATATTAATCTCAATATTTTTAAAAATAAAATTATAAAGGTTAAAAATATTTTGAACCTTTAATATTTATAATATATATAATGATTAAAAGGGTTTAATAATTTAAATTTAAAATATTAATAATAAATTTTTATATAATTTTAATCTTTAGAATTGTATTACTAATATTATAAATATTAAAAGTTTAAAATATTAAAATTTTAATATTTTAATATTTAAATATTATAAATATTAAATGTTCAAAATATTTTTAATTTTCATAATTTTATTTTTTAAAATATAGAGATTAATATTTAAATAGTTGAAACTATAAGGATTGAATTATAAGAGATAAAGTTTAAGAATAAAGTTACAATTGAATTAAAATTATAAAAAATAAGTTACAATGAGTCAAAGTTTAATGATTAAGTTATAACTGAGTGAAAATAACAAGGACCAAATAATTAATTTTTTTTAAAAAAATTAAATTTGATAAAAATAAAAAAAATAGATAGTGCAAATCTCATCATGGATGATAAGTAACATGATGCACATTTTATGATAAGCACCGAAAAAAGTCTAGATTTAATATCAATTCTTTTTAAATTTTTTTATGAGTAAAATATTAAAAAATTTAAAAATCATTTTGAGATAAAATCATAAAATAGATGGCCTAGATCATTGAATGCAAACGTAAGCTTTATTTAGGCGCCCCAGATGCATCTTTCTCCACGCACAATCAACTTTTAAATTGAGGATTTAGATTCAGTGATTATATTAATACAACTATTGAGTGCTTATATCATTTGAATTATTAAAATTTAAATTAATAATTTAAATAAATTTATTTATTTATCAATTTTTAAGTGGGGTATGAATTTATAATCATTTATTTAAATTTTAATAATTTAAATGATATAGGGGCTCAATGTCTGTATATTAAGTACAGTCATTAAATCTAAATTTTTAAATTATTTTCTCTTTTTGTGATTCACATTGTTAAAAGAGTTTTTAAAATTATTGTTTTAAAAATTTTGGTGGCGCTCCTTTTTTTTATTTTGATTTTTCATTTAAAAAAATCGAGAATGAGTGCAATAGTTACATTTATCAACACAGCTCATTACCTTTCGTTGATATCTTCGATTCAAAATAACGGTATTGATTTTGTACATCACCACAACATTATACTTCTATTCAAACGCTTTTTATAGCTAATTAGCATCAAAAGCATAAAAAGAACTACAGAATTAAGAAACCCATTGAAAATGTTGATTGATTTATTCAATTCCTCGCGTATGCTTCCTTTAATTGAAGCTCAAAGCCAGATAATTGAAACATGAAAGATAACTTTCTGGCAAAAAACTCAAAGAAGAGAAACACAAAATAGATAACTTACTTTAGCTCAATAGCATTATTCCAATTAATTTATGGTCTCTTCTCTTTAACAATAAGATAACTCACCTAAACTTTTTTATATAAAAAGTATGACTAAAAAATAGCATCAATAAAACAACAAATAGCAAACTCTTGATCTATTTCAATTTTATTTATTTTTTGGCCCAAACTCACTCTTCTTCAAAAAATTCGAGGTCTTAATTTTGGCATTTGAAATGAGATTCTTTGCTTTATGGCTGATTATTTAAAGAATGTTTAATGGAGTTATTTGGGAAAAAAATAAGGCAGTTTATTTAACCCTAAATGCATCCCCCAAATCAACTTCTAAATTGCTTTCTCTTTTCGCAGATCACGCTGTTCAAGAAATTTACAAAATTATCTATTTTAAAAATTTTGGTAACGACTCTATTTTTTATTTTAATTTTTCATTTTGAAAAATTGAAATTTGAGTGTAACGGTTAGATTTATCAATGACAGTTGCCTTTCGATAATATCCAAGTTCCATTCAAAATGCTAATATTGATTTTGCACATCACCACACCATTGTTACTTCTATTCAAATACTTTTTATAGCTAAGCATCAAGCGCATAAAAAAGCTAGAGAAGAAATTAAACCCATTGAAAATGTTTATTCAATTCCCTCACATGCTTCGTCTAAAGAAAGATAACTCAAAGTAAGATTATTGAATCATGGAAGATAAATTTCTAGCTAAACTTACAGAAAAGAAGCATAATATAGATAACTTACTTTAGCTGAATAGCATTATGCCAACAATTAATTTATATTCTCTTCTCTCTAAGACTAACAATAAGATAACTCAAAACATCATAGAACAACAACAAATAGCCTAATTCTCGAACCTTATAGATCATATCATAACCTTTGCACTGAACCGTTAATGACACTGACATTTTACAGTGCTTGACTATCCGTGGGGCTTGAGCTCACGTCAGCATTGAACGAAGAAAGCAAAGCCATGAAAGTACCATTATTATTTGTGCCAACATGAGAGAGATCGACCACAAGACTATCACTATTATTATTGTTGTTATTATTATTATTATTATTATTGTAGTTGTTGTTGTTATTATTATTAGTTTCATTGTTTAGGACTCTGTGAAGCATAGGTTTCTTAAATGTTGTCGCCACCACAACCACAAGACTCGCAGCTATGATTCGTCCTGCTATCACTCCTCCAAAGATCTGACCTTGAGCTCCTGCAAGACATATCGTGAAAGAAGAGTATCCAGGAAACAACAATGATGGGTTTGGTAATGTCGATGATGAAGCAAAAGGTGAAGCAACATGGGACTTCACGAAAGTACCAGAAAGAGAGAGCATAGTGAATGTTCCATGAAGGGTCAAAGAAGGCGCATTGGAAAATGTGTGGCTAAGAGTGACATTGGTTACAGAGCCAGACCCGTTAAGAACAGTAAGCCCAGAGTCACGACTTTGAGCAAACTTTATCAGCTCGTTGACCACGTCACAACCGGCTGAGATCTCAATGATTACAGGCTTCAGAGCTTCTTCATCCATTTTCGAAATTATAATCGGAGCTTTAGGCTTGTTCTTGGAGCCAGGTGGCCTTCCTTTAGGTTTCTGTGCTTGTTTCAGTAGTTTTTTGTGCCTATTAGCAGAGTAGCTGCCACTACCTTGGACGTTACTCTTGCCGCCGCCGCCGGAGACGGTGTTGCATTGGTCAGGGCAAAGTGATGATTGGTTATTGTGGGCTACAAATGGGGAAGCAGTGTCGCCCAAAAGATGATGACTAGTTGATTTGAACTGTGTAGCCATGAAGTTTTGGGAGTTACGTTGAAAGGATTCAATATTATCTGACGTTTGAGAGTGTTGGGGGAGGGAGACTCCATAGCTATGGTTAGCCATGATATCACAGAGAGAAAGGGAAGAGCAAAGTGAAGATGATAAATAGAGATGGTGAGATTGGATTGATGAGTGAAGTTTACTACTTTGCTGAGAAGAATTTATATTACAGGGGCCAGATTTGAAACTGAAGATTATGTGTGGGGTCCACAAAGTTGTGGGGCTACTCTAGAATCATCTTAAATATGTTACAATGTATGAAGAGCATGTCATTAATAAATAGTCCTTTCAATTAGATGTATCAAGAGCTCATCATCATGTGCAATTGAATCACTATGATCAATCATTTTTCAAAGAAGCAAATACTTGAGTTGATTGGTTAACTCAACAAGTTAATTAATCAGGACAATTTCAACGATACTATGTCTATGATGATCTGCACTAGGATGCAATGATTTGTTATTTGCCAATTTGACCTAATTCCATTTTATTTCTATACAATCTGGTCATGGCCTTTGTATTTTAAGGGGAAAAACAATGGTCCCTTTGTCAATGGGTAGTGTACAATTACTCCTGGGTAGTGCCTAAATTGGTAGATTTGAATTTGAATTTTAGATTTAAAATATCACATTTCAAATCTTGCATTTTAAATTGATGTATTTAAAATTTTTTGTTTGAGTAGTTTAAAAACATTTTAAATGAAGAAGAGATGTGAGTTGATAATTGAAACAAAAATGAAAAATTAAAGATGGTAAATTTATCCATATTTTTTAATCAGTAGAAGGCAAAAACAAGATATGAGAAAAGATATAAAAATTATAGATACATCAATAATACAAACAAGAAAAGAACAAGGTGTTTGTCATTGAAATTTTAAATGATTAGGATATAAAGGGAATTTAAAATTACAAAAAAATTATAATAAATAATGAATTTGAATTTAAATCAAATCTAAATTTATAATTTTTTGTGCATTCAAATTAGAGATTTGGTTCAAATCTTACATACCGTTTTGAGTACTTTTGAGACATAAGACATGTTCTGCTCCAATTCATCCCCAAGACCAATTTTTTTTTGAAAAAAAGGAAATCATGTGTGATTTATTTGTAAGGTTTATTATAGGATAACACCCACAAAAGATCCTGATTGAATGGAAAACATACAGTTCAAAACATAAGTTGAAAATTTTTATTTTTAGACAATAAGAATAATTATAAAGTGTAGGATCATCACTATCTATATTCTCAATTGTAAAATTTATAAAAAAAAATCCCATTATTTAATAAGTTATGGATAATATTGCTCCCTTAGTAAAGGTTTACACATTAAGATTTGTCAATGTCATTTTTATAGCAATAGACTCCTGTCAAAATGTTACGAGTGTTATTTGCAAGAGTGACAACTATACCTGATTCATCCATAATCAATCACTACCAATTTGGATCGGTATTTTAAAATTCTGACCATTTATCTAACTTATTAAGGTAAGCATCCAAGTGGCTCATGATTCAAACGTTTCATTTTTAGTCTTCTTCTGACAACTATACCTGACTCATCCATACTCAAATACAATCAATTTTAATCAGTATTTCAAATTTTTGACCGTTTATTTAACTTAATCGCCTAAGTGGCTCATGGTTCTCTGTTTCATTATTGTTGTTGTTGTTGTTGTTGTTCTCTTTTTTGTGTGAAAAATGAGTAAATATACTAACATTCCCTCTTCTTCATCCTAATCATAAAGATATCTCTTGTATTTTTAAAACTTATATAAATGTTCCTTAAAATTAAGATTTATAAGACATATACCTCCTTTTATTTTTGAAAAAAAAATCATTTAAGGATCTCTCGACAGTTTTTATATCAAAAAAGGACCTTAAAAAAATCTGAAATTGCACTACACTCTCAGGTATGTATCTAAATATAAGATTTTATAAAAAAAAGACCTATCTAAAAATAAAATTTTATGGATACATAAACAAGCATTCATTCATATTTTAACAAATAATCATATGTAATTAACAATCCATTTTGAAATGAACAAGTTGCAAAACTAATAGTATAAGTAAACAAGCATCCATTTGAGTTTTGACAAGCAATTCTACATAATTAACGATCTATTCGAAATTAACAAATGACTATAATTACTAGTATGGGTTTAATTGTACATGTGTTGGGCCTCCATAAATAAACTTTTATTCAAATTTTGACAAATAACTGGAGCTGATAATTTGAGCCAAGTCAACAAGCCATCCTGAACCTACTCAAAAAATTTAAAGCCAAGTCCAAAATAATAATAATCTTTTAATGTTCGGTCCGACCCAAATACGCTTGAGAAAATTCATGCCAAGCTCAATCAGGTTTAGGCTTGGCTTGAATACCCGAATAACAAATAATTATTTTAAAAATATATATATAATATAATAAATATTAATTAATTTTTTTTAATTTTTATGTTACTTTATACTAAAATACTATATATTTGAGTGTAATAATATAGTTATTTTTTAAAAAATTAAAAATATTTATATTTTCATATTTTTATTATTTTTAATCAATAAAATATCTCAAAATAATATTTAAAATACTTCCTCCGTTTAAAATGTAAGGCATTTTTTAAGGAGTTAGATGTTTAAAAATGTAAGGTACTTTTAATCTTTCGAGTTGTAATTATTATCTTTTTTTCAAAAGTGCCCCTAATGATAATGACTTTAGATTTATTATAGGGTATTTAATAGGAATAAATATAAAAAAATAGGGTTAGTTTAAAAGTAAATAACTACTTTATTAGGGGTGAGATTTGATTAAAAATACCTTATATTTTTAAATGGAGGGAGTATATTTTAATATTAATTTTTATATTAAAAGACTAAATTTTTTTTACAAAAATTTTGAGTCCTATATATCATTTGAGTATTCAAAAAATATATTTTATATTTTTATAAAATAAGATAATTAATTTTAAAGTAAAAATAAAATTAAAAATAATTTTAAAAATAAAATTTGGGCATGTACGAATTTACTACTCTACTACTAAATAAACATAATAAAGAGAACAATATTTTTAGATAATTATTTAGTTATCATTAATGTCAGAATTTATTAAAAATTAAAAAAAACTAGAATAAATACTCCTTGTATGTAGGAGTTAAAAAATATAAAAAAGTTAAAGGAAAAAAAATTAAAAAATAGTATTTTATTCATAATTAAATGATTTTATTATATATAGTATAATGATGGCTATTTCTTTTATATTCTTAAAAAAAGTTCAGTTTACCTAAAAGTTATTAAAATCTTTGAACTAGTTGAGGTAATAATTTTAAATTTATGATCTAAATGTGATTAAATTAAAATCAACTTGATCTAACAAAAATAATATAATTTAATTAAAATATTTATATATGACCATGATAAGAGTAATATTTAAACAACTAAGATATTAACATATAAGTAAAGAAAATATTTATGAATAAATTATATATACAACAAAATGGTAAAAGAACTACTTAAGTACAAAGTTGATAAGCTATTATTTTTTATTTTATTCTTTTAAAGTTAAAAATAATATTTTATGCTTAAACAGAATTATTTAAAAATTAAAATTAATTTAAAAATAAAAAATATTAAAAAGTTTGGGGTATTGGAGCCAGCCCAGATAAGCCCAAAGCCTAAAGATGTTAAGGTCGAGTTTGGCTATATGAGCTTTTTAAAAAGAATATGATACTTTTAAACCTGATTCGAATAAGCTTGGCTTGTATTGAGTCTAACCTGCCTAAATTACCGGCTCTACAAATAACTATACATAATTAATAAAATCCATTCAAAATAAACAAGTGATTATAACTAATAGTGATAGCATATGGTTAATTGTACAAGTGTTGATCTCACATAAACAAACATCTATTCAAGTTTTGACTACCAACCATACGTAGTAAATAACAACAACCTAATAAATTATTAAACTTTATTATATTTCAGGGCTAATTAGGTCTTTTCTCATAAATCTTATTTTCAAACAAATACCAATGGAGTGTGGTGAAATTTCATATTTTTTAAGATTATTATTTATACAAAAACTCTCCAGAAGTTCTCAGAGAATGGGTTTATTTAAAAACTTATTTTGAAAATAGTTTTCTATTCTCTAAAATAAGAGAATGAAAAAATTTGTTTAATAATATGTTATCAAAGTGTTTTGAAGAATAAAAAAATAAAATATTATTCTAAAGAATAAAAAATAAAAATAACTTTTAAGTGTTCTACGATTATTATTCTAAAAAATAAAAAAATTAAAAAAAATTATTTTATTATTTTTTTGTTCTCAAAATATGTTTTATAAAACATCATTTTTTAAAATAATAAAATAAAAATAGTTTCAAATAATCTTAATATTTCTCCTTTATTTTTAGTCTTCTACTTCTCACATTTACAGCTGAGTACAATCAATTTTGCTAAGTATTTCAAAATTTTGACCGTTTATTTAACTTATTAATTAAGGTAAGTGGCTCATGATTCCATGTTTCATTTTCTTCTTCTTCATCATCATCATTATTCAAATTCAATTTTAATTTAGTAACCTAACAATACAATGTACCTTTTTTTCTATCCTTACTCAGAGCATTGAAAGCGTGAAATGGAAAAAAAAAAAATGAAGTAACCTCTTGCATTTATTTTTTCTTAACATTTTCAAAAATAAAAAACTTTATTTAGGAGTGTAAAGTGTATGAAATAGAAGTTTAGAAGAGAGTTTGTGAATGCTTAGTGAAAGTTAATTTCATTTTATTGGTAATAAAAAATGCCAGCATTCAATACACTACCATGCCTTAGACAAAATTGTCTTCAATAGGATAATACATGTGAGAATAAAAAAAATCCAAATATTTAAACTAAGCCCATTTAAATTCTGAATAAACTTGAAGTGAAAAAATAATAATAATAAACTGTCAAACCTAGCCTTAAGACTTTTCATACTTGACCAAAATTATTAGCTCTGGGCAATGCCATGGCTCACTGAAGAGTCAGAAGTTGACACTTGGCATGTGTCTTTGTTTGCGGGACATTTGGAGGAT